TTATTATATTTTTTGAGGCTTCTTGTTTTGACTTATAAAAGGTTTTGCTCATTCTCAAACAAATGATTAAAAATATTAGAGAGACCTTTTATTGTCATCGTACAGATCACAATGAAATTACAGACCTTGAAGACCCTTAAATATTTTTTAAAACTTTGCAAAGTTTTCCTTTTATTAAAATGCAGTTTTAAAATGTTGAGGGTCTATGTATTTAACTCAACTGATTCTGACACACCTCCCTGCTAAACTGAACTTTATAATGGGATCTTTTTAAGCCATGGGAACTAACGTAACTAACAAAATAAATAAATAAATAAATAAAACAATTTAAATGTATTTTTTTTTTTACAATTTAAAAAAAAAAGTATAGAAAGTTTAGAAACTAAATTTTTCCATCCTGAACTGACACTGTCTGTTTATTCAGCATCAAGGCCATTGAGAGCAGTAATAAAGAGGACGACACACAGTGGCTGACCTATTGGGTTGTTTATGGGCTCTTCAGYGTTGTTGAATCCTTCTCCGATATCTTCCTCTTCTGGTTCCCCTTCTACTATGCAAGCAAGGTAGGCTAATATTTTGTGTTGTGTTTTAATGGTTTTTTTTTTTATTTTATTTTATTTTTTCGATGATTAGAGGATTTCAGAGCTCTGTGGGAATCAGTTCATCTGTATTTTGTACATTCTGCAGTCTTTCTTTTAGGGGAATTTATCACCAGTAGTTTTGAAAATCAAATTGACTAAATTTAAAAAGTCATACTTTTGGGTTCAATAACCCTGGACAGATTCTTACTTCTATGAAAAATAATTTGTATCAAAACTTTTACATCCTTCCTGTAATAGAAGAGTGGACATWAAACAATATGCTCATTTTAATCAGGATTCATTTTTCTCTGAGCTGAAGAAACATGAGTGGTTTGTGTTCGTGCAGCTGGCCAGGAGACAAATTTAGTGTCGCCAATCCATCTCTTATTAATGTTACTACAGTAATGACACGTTTTCACTTGATGTGTGTACTTTTGTGTACCAGCGCTGCCCTCTTGTGGACACACTGTATAAAGCCAAGTTTAGAAATGGGATGGACTGTTCTGTTTGCAAAATACATTTATGATGGAGATTTTATTATATTTATTTTAAGAGAATGATAAAATATCAAACATTTGCAGATCAACTTGTTTACCTTAATTTATGCTCATGTGATAAGATAATCTGAAATTCTGAAAGCAAAAAAAAAATACCAGTTCCTATTTACCTGGTAGATGTAATATTTCAGCTGCTACAAGTCATGTAAATGAACCACGGGACATTTTAATGTTTTTGTATTGATGCATATAGCAGTACCTTAATAGAGAATTTCTGTCATGTACTGTAGTATTTCATGTCTTTTGACTTGCAGCTTTATTTTGGTAGATTTGAAAACTGTTTTAATAAAATGACCTCACATATCAGCTCGTCCTGCTTTTCATTGTGTTCAAAGTCACCTTACAATCCCATTACAAGTGTTCAAGTCATAAATTTAATCTGGGAGAAAATAGGATTTAAACCGATGCCTTACTCTGTTTTATGAGTGAGTGGAGAAAAGGCAACAGCATTACAAATCAGTGCACATTTCAGAAAGCATGTCTGCTATTGAAAGCATGAAGTATTACTATTTTATTTAGATATACAGTATATATACAACCAGAAGTTCCTGAGATTTCTTTAATCCATTCATACCTGTTAAGAACTAAGAATCGTGTGTTTTAGCAGTTATCC